CTGTTTTGTTTTACATTTATAAACTGTGTTGTTTAGTATGGTGAGATGTTCAGCGCATGGCTGCAAAGGCCGAAGCGAGAAAAAAGTGGCTAGAATTATATTTCACAGGTAAAAGTCGATACACAACTTTTGTCATGTAGTCATTTGTACATTTTTTTCATTATAGCAGTAAAAATATGTAAAATGCTTTTAATGTCTTGTACCACATCCAAAGCAAACTATTTTTATTAATTCCAAGTAGTGTTTACAATATCTTAAATTATAATGAATGTTTGAAAACTATAATACGTTACTCAGACTGATTTCTCCAGTGTAGGGAATAAGACAAATACAATTTCTGCAATAAACATTTTTTTTATATATTTTACATGTAATTGTGTTATCAACATAAAATATTGACATTAATAATGTAAATATATATGTATATACATAAAAAAATAAAAAACATATATATTTACATTATTTTTTATTTAATTATACATTATACACACGTTAATAAATAAATAATTGTCTTGATGATCAGTTCACTGTGTCTGTTAAATAAATTTTGCATTATCGACTTAGATATTCTACTATTATAAAGATGAGACTATAAAATACAAAATTGTATATGCATTACTCAAAAATAAACGATATATTAGTTAACGTTTTAATTAATATTTTGTATCGTCTAGGTACAAGCTAATTGCTGATATGCTACGCCATTGGAAAATTTCGCTTGGTGACAAGTGGCCTCACTGTCAGCTGTCGTGTTACCTGTCCCCTCTCTTTCATTGTCTAAGGACAGTATAGAAAAAAAAAACAAAAAAATGTAACTAAATTTTTGTGATCGTTAGTAAAAAACTTAAGAGCGTATAACTAATATATAACACCACTCTTACTTTCCTTTGAATACTAAAAAAATCAGACAAAGAAAGACACACAAAAGAAACAAATAAAAAAACGAGTAAATCTCGAAGAGATAGAATAAGATATACGAAAATATATGTTATTTAGTCAGCGAGGCGACTCGCCACGGTGAGATGTCAGTCTTGCTCGCTAGGGGTCGACACTTATGCGAGACCCTCGCCACAGATACCATCTAAAATAGCCGTGGAATTTCGACATTTCTTATTATGATACAACATGTGCCACCAGATAAGATCAACGGGCTCGAGGAACGACGGTACTGAAAAAATGGAAGGTGTTCCTTAAATTATCATCTATTTCTTATGTCTTATTTGTCAGGGCGGGTTTTAGATGGTAAAGACCGTGTTCCTCTTTATTATTTTCGTTTTTTTCTGGTTAATTATACTCATTAGGGTGACATAGGTCCGATCTAGGTTTCCACAGCTGAAGTTTAATTAATGGTAATTATATGCATTCTTAGAAATAAGTTGGAATCTCGATCTTATTTTAATTTGTTTTTATCTTTGTGAAAGAATTCGTTACTAACTTAATCAGGGATGATTCTGAATATAATAATGCTTTTGATGGAGTGTTCCATGAAGCCATGAATCACTTTTGGCCTATTGAATCCAATGACCAAGCTGGCTATGTAAAACATGTCGCTCCAGCGTCTCTATCTACTAAAGTAAGTGGTATCCAAGAAGCCTCACACATTCATCGCAAAATAAGCAACCTAACAAAATTGGCAATTCGTCTCTTAGAAATTATGGATAGTTTATTATTTCATTCAGATAATTAAAAAAGGCCAATCATTCTCCATCCTAGAATTCCTGCCTAAACATTTACCGACCAACGGTCTTGGTGCTGAACTACGCATCAAGGGTAGATTTGGACCCGTAGTGCATATTGAAAAGTGACCATGGGCGCAGGACAGGGGGGGGGGCAAGAGGGGGCATTTGCCCCCCCCCCTGGATCACTGAAACAATAAAAATAAAGCTATTTTCCATCATTACATCCATCTGTAAAAAAATAATTATTATTATGAAATTTTTAGGTGTTACCTGTAAAATAATAAAAAATGTGGTAATTATTGGGAAAACTGGAAATCGTCCGATTTTCACCAAAATTGGTATACACACTATTTTGAGGTCGTAGATTAGGAATCTACTTTTTTCTTGGTGGTCTCTTACCGTTTTTCAGAAAAACGGAAAATTATTACAACATTGAATTTTTCTTTATTTTGGCCCTATAAAGTAATAATTTCACTATATTTTCATTATATTGTAGTTTATCTAAAAGCCACACTGATTGGGGATACAAAAATGTCCAACATTTTCCTGAAAAACACTTTTCTTAACAAAATAACAAAGAAAATTGAGACCAGATGGAGTTTGACATTTGATATATCCTTCTTTCTCTCTCCTATGTAATAAGAGAGACAAATTTATTCTAGACCTAATCTAGAAATTTGAAAATTTACAACGTTGCCATATCTTCTATTTTTTCGGGTGATTACGGAATTTAAATAAATTACCTATTATGAGATCAACAATAATTAAATATACACCAATATCCACAAAATTACGCGGAAAAGTTTTGATTGCATTGGTTTTAACTTCTTTGCGGAGGAGGTTAATCTTTTCTTAGTTAATCTAATAATATAACAACAAAAGATTAACACCCTCTGCATGGAAGTTGTAACCAATGCAATCAAAACTTTTTCGTGCAACTTCGTGGGTATAAATAGTCAGATCTCGTTGGTAAAATAGCAGTTATGGGAAGGAGCCGTTCTTCTGGCGACCGCCTTTCGTAATTCCAGAATGAGCGAAAAAAACACGCTAAATTTAGGTTTAGCATTGGCAACGTTGCTTTAAATGCCAGAAAGACATAAACTTACTTCGGGTTTCTCTTATTACCGATTCTGAACCGTCCTAGAACTGTGATGTGTATGCGCAGAAGGAAATATGAAGACATTACTTCATTTGCGCATGCGCTGCAGAGTTCTTGGACGGTTCAGAATCGGTAATAACAAGAACCCGAACAAAGCCATAATCTAACATTTTCAGATTGTTTACAAATTTATTTTAACAAATTTTCCTCTATTATGCATAGAATTGGTTAAAAAAGTAACAGAAAAGAGCAAAAACATTATTGATTATTGAATACCTAACAAAATATGTGCTAGAAAACCTTAAACATATGAGAAATTAAGAAAAATTCGATATTGAAATTATTTTCCGTTTTTCTCAAAAACGGTAAGAGACCGCCAAGAAAAAAGATTCGTAACGTTCAAATTCGTAATCTACGACTTCAAAATAGTGTATATACCAATTTTGGTGAAAATCGGACGATTTCCAGTTTTCCCAATAATTACCAAAAATGTCAATTTTTTATTCATCTTTACCTTGCCCCCCCCTAAATTTCATTCTTCCGGCGCCCATGAAAGTGACCCAAACGACATAAACTTTAATGTAATAATAAATACCACAAACAACAGGTAACAAAGTGAATATAAATAAATAAATAAATGCCTTTATTGTCAAAAAAATTTTCAATTTGTAGACAAAGGTAAACTAACAAACAAAGTAGAAAACAAACAAAAAATCAAGGAGGAACTTGGATTAATAACTAAATGACGTTACATAAAATAAACCCCTAGTTGTTAAAAGCAATATGGCGACACAAAATTCCTAGAATTTTTAATAAAATTATTGATTGTCCGACTTTTGGACATTTTAATCTTAGAACTACCTACGTATAATTAATCAAGAAATTCGTAAAAATTATATTGATAGACGATAATGTTACATAAACACATTTAAAAACTTATGCCGTCATTTTTTTTTCAAGAAAACTCCCTAAATTCGGATGCATGAAAACTGAACTTAATCGTTTTGATATTTTGACGTAACCAATTTACCTGTTTTTGTTTCCTAGCCTACTACTATAATTTTTAGACCATATAATCCTAAACGGCAGCCTAACATGATTTGTTCTCTTAATATCTCCGGTTAGAGAGAATAAGATAGAAAGTTGCGGTTTGGCGCTCATTTTTTGGAAATTTTGTGCTCTATTTAACTGTGTAAAGAGAAATATAGCCTCCTATTTAATTTTTTTCTGCAAAAGTTCTTATGGTGTCAAACAGCGCCCTCTAGCTACCACGAAAAAAATTATGGAAACAAAATGTTGGAGATCATTAAGGAAGAAAAGCTTTTTTAAACGAGCCCTAGTTTGTTTAAATCGGCTAACCTAAACCAGAGTTATCCTTATTTTAATTAA